AATGATAAGGGGCCGACCTTGAATTATATCTAACGATAGGTCCACCCAAAACCGTAGGATCAATGATGATATTTTAATTTACTTTTGAATTTAAGAGTAAAAATCATCCAAAAATGTAAATTTTGACTACCTACTTAAGCATAAACAAAAGTCACTTTAAAGTCCATAGTCCCTATTAACCCAATGACCACCTAAGTACCTCCTTCTCGATCTTCTCTATCCATAAACCTTTACTAAACCTCTAATATATATTATTCGGTTAACACAAAACGGTAAAAACAAAATATAGAAAAAGCAAAATGATTATCTTGCATTTTTGGGACTAGTAAAAATCAAAATGGTATATTTCTGCTACAAATTCAAAGGGGATATAGACATACAAAGAAGAAAGATCCTTTCTAACAATGTTACACTTCCTTTAGACAAATCTGGATTCTCTAACTTTTGTCGACGTCTGATGATGTAATGTGATACTGATTGAGTCGAAGTGTGTACAACCACAACTACTACAAAAATAGAAGCAGAGATGCTTTTTAGAAAAGTAGTAACTTTTTTTTGTTTTTTTTTAAATTGTTACCAAACCTTAAGCATCACACTTCTCTTCTCTCTACAACTTGATGTAGTACGTCTTTCTGATTATTACAGCTGTCTCTTCTTGATATGACTTGTTCTGCTACTTCTTTCTCACTCTTCTAATGATCACTCTTCTCTCTCCATAAAATGATTGATCTATTTTGATTAATAATATTAATCTGCTTCTAAATACCTTAAGTTCAGTCTAATTCATGAACTTTGTTGGATACTATTTCTTACTCTAACCCATTTGTTGGAATTATTTCTTGGCTTAAAGTATTGGCCTATTACTTTCAAACCAAGTTTATAGGTTTCTGTCGGGTAATGTTCTCTGTGTATATATATTTATTAAATATAATTAACAATTGGCATATATAACATGGATAAGACACTCAAATCATCACTCTTAATCGTTTTAATGAGGATTTGGGCCACATAACGAAAAATAATTGGTCATGTGTACGAATGTATCATAACCACATAGATACACACATACACACATATCTGCCTGCATGAAGTATGACATTTATCAATTGATTA